GGTTTGAGGCCCAGCATCCCATATGGTCCCCAAGCACCACCAGGAGTAATTCCTGAGTGCAGAGCCAGAAGTAATCCCTGTGCATCGCCGGGTGTGACCCAAAAAGAAAAAGAAAAAAAAAAACATTTCCTCTCTTTGCCTGCATGACTTATTTTTTGGAGGGGGGACTCTGCACTCAGGAATCATTCCTGGTGGGCTCAGGGGACCACATGGGTGCCTGGGGGATCAAACCCAGGTTGGTCACGTCTAAGGCAAATGCTCTCTACCTGCTGTACTATCCTCTGGCCTCATCAATCAAATGATTTTCTTTGTTTTGTTTTGAGGCCACACCCAGATATGCTTAGGGGTTACTCTTGGCTCTGCACTCAGGAATCACTCCTGGCAGTGCACAGGGGTCCATATGGTATTCCAGGGATTGAACTCAGGTTGACCACATGCAAGGCAAATGCCTATCCTGCTGTACTGTTGCTTCAGTCCCACCTCATGTCTTTCTGAGAGAGTTTTGTTCAATAAAACTATCTTACTTCACACACACACACAATACTGGGTTTTACTTAGATGTGAGTCCTTGTAGGATGTGAGCAGAGAAGGAATACTGTGTGTTTTCAGTAGGTCCAGCGGCGCTCTATCTCTCCCGCTGCCCACGTTCGGTAGTCTCGAGCCACTTCCCCCACCCCAGGGAGGTGATGGTGATGGGCAGGCGAAGGAACAAAACAAGGGCCAGGCTGGTCGGTATCAATTGTTTATTCCAATCTTCACTCTCACCTCTGACTCTGCCCTCTGGAGCCCAAGCTCCCGAGCCCGAGCCTATGCCTCAGCCTGAGCCTCAGTCTCTGCTCTCTCGAGCCCAGGCCTCTTCGAGTTTACAGTCTTAGTTTTTATAGCAATCACGTAGGGTGGTGACACAAAGGTGGTTTGAACATTAACAAATCAGCAAAGAGAGGTAAGACCACTCCTCGAGGAGATTAACTCAAGGATTAAATCATATCTAAAGAGATTTATTCCAGATTACTAGGAGATCTGCTCAAGGGTGGGATCCCAACAAGGGTGTATTCTTTCCTCAGCTAGTAATCTACTTAAATAGTAAATCTAACGCCAATATTTCTAGCAATGTCATTCTGTATGAGCACAGTAAGAGATAAACTTACAGTTTGGTTCTTCCTGAGGACACCTCACTATATATTCATATATATATATATATATATATATATATATATATATATCAGTCATCCTCAGGCCAGGTTAGTCTTCCTAGCCCAGCAGGGTCCTAGTCTCATCGTTACTTTTACTTTTGGATCATGACAGAATTTGTCCATGATCATGCCCTCAACTTATAGTTGAGTATCGTGGCACTTTGGCCTGGCCCATTTCGATGCAGGGTAGCGCACAGCTTGCCCTGGGTCCGTTCAGTCCCTCATCGGGACCCTGCTTTGGGGGTGCTAGGAACTAAGGGCAACTGAGTCAAGAAAGCAGATGCCCAGGAGTAAATATTATTCAGAGTCAATTATCTCCCAAGTTACAAAACATAATAATTGTTTTCCTGTGCCCATACAGAAAGGACATTGCTTTAAGGTAAACTATGCAAAGGACATAACTTACAATACAAGTTCAGTGTCCTTAGAAGGATCTGATCTTACAATCTAACAGAATCTGATTAGGGAGAAAAGGTGATTAACTGGCTGGGGAGGAGAGCACAGAGAAGAGTTTACAGATAAACAGAGGAATGGGAGTGACTCCAGCATTGTGATGGGTGTAACCCACTAAACCTAAACTCCCTGTGGCAATGTTATTCTACAGAATACTATCAGGTTTAGAGTTTATTTTTATATTATTTATTTGTTTAAAGCAAGTATTTATCTAAGAAGATAAAGTGGGGTGGTGGGAGGGATACTGGGGACATTGATCATGGGAAATGTACACTGGTGGAGAGATAGGTTGGGATTTTGTATGACTGAAACACCGTGAAAGCTTTGTACCTGTGTATCTTTGTAACAGTGATTTCTTTAAAATAAAGTAAAAGGTAAAGGAAGATAAGAGCTTGCTGGGGTTGCAGTGACATGTTTAAACAAAAAGAAACAAAAAAAAACTAGTCTCTACACTCTTACAAGTGTGGGGTGTGGGGACGCAGAGGGAAATACCTCAGGTTGAGGTTTTTGTTTTGTTGTTGTTTGTTTTTTGATATATATATCAGCCCAGCTATGCTCAGGGGTTCTCCTGGCTCTGCGCTCAGGAATTACTCCTAGTGGTGCACAGGGACCAAATGGGATGCTGGGGATCAAACCCAGGTAGGCTGTGTGTAAAGCAAGCATCCTATCCACTGGATGGCTCCAGCCCACTGGGTTAAGTTTTAAAGGGTCTTGCTGGATAATGAGTAGATTGTGAGCACCTAGGGATGCCAGGAGCTACTTTCTTGGTCTCATGCAAGCAGCGGTATGACCCCAGTACTATCTGTTCTTGCAGAATTTCAATTCATAGAAATGACCGCGAGGGGCCAGAGTGATAGTATAGCAGGGAGGGCGTTTGCCTTGCCTCCCCAGCATCCCATATGGTCCCCCAAGAACTGCCAGGAGTAATTCCTGAGTGCAGAGCCAGGAGTAAGTAACCCCTGAGCATTGCTGGGTGTGATTCAAAAAGCCAAAAAAGCAAAGAAAAAAGAAATGACTGAGAAACCAGTGCCATTGATATATTTATTTGGGGGCCGGGGGAGCCACAGCCAATCATGCTCAGGGCTTACTCCTGGTTCTGCACTCAGGGATGACTTCCGGTGGGGCTCTACGCCATTGCCATTCCAAAAGCTCAAACTGTTTTGGTGTTGGGGCGTACCGTAAGGTGCTCAGGGCAGCACGTAGTGTCAGGGATTAAACCGAAGCGTCCAGCATGCAAAGCATGTGCGCCAGAACTTTGAGCTAGCCCCCCAGCTCTCAGCAGTGCCGTGAAAGTTACTTCTGGCCTGGAGAAAAGCTGCCATTAGGTAGTCCAGTTGGGATTAGAGCTGGTGCGGGAGAAAAGGGAAGAGAAAGCAGAGACACGCGCAACCGCAGAACTGCCTGCTGCCCGTGAAGAGCAAATCTTACAAAAGTAACTATCTAGAAAAATTGTCAAGAGAACAAGGGGGAATGAATGCCCTGCCACAGAGACAGGGTGTTTTTATTTTCATCTTCCCCCCACCCCACCCCAGCAGGTGCTGAGGGTTTGCTCCTGTCTCTGAGCTGCACTGGGGGATCTGTGCCCCCGCTCCAGCCCAGGTCAGCTGCGAACGAGACTTCGGGCCAAAGAATGCTTTTTCCATACTCTTGAACATCTTCAAACTCGACCCAGGCTAGATCCATACATCCTGTTCTACATGTTTAATACGAACAGCCCTCCTTGGGGCGGCCGCACAGCGGGGAGGGCGCTCACCCACCCAGATCGACTCCGGGCGTCCCAGCGGGCCCCCTGGGCGCCGCCAGGGCTGATTCCTGAGTGCATGGCCAGGAAAGAGCCCCAAGCACAGCCAGGGTTGATTCCTGAGTCAGTCAGGAGAGAGCCCCGAGCACCGCCAGGGCCGATTCCTGGGTGCACGGCCAGGAGAGAGCCCCGAGCACCGCCACAGGGCCGATTCCTGGGTGCACGGCCAGGAGAGAGCCCCGAGCACCGCCAGGGCCGATTCCTGGGTGCACGGCCAGGAGAGAGCCCCGAGCACCGCCAGGGCCGATTCCTGGGTGCACGGCCAGGAGAGAGCCCCGAGCACCGCCAGGGCCGATTCCTGGGTGCACGGCCAGGAGAGAGCCCCGAGCACCGCCAGGGCCGATTCCTGGGTGCACGGCCAGGAGAGAGCCCCGAGCACCGCCAGGGCCGATTCCTGGGTGCTCGGCCAGGAGAGAGCCCCGAGCACCGCCAGGGCCGATTCCTGGGTGCTCGGCCAGGAGAGAGCCCCGAGCACCGCCAGGGCTGATTCCTGAGTCAGCCAGGAGAGAGCCCCGAGCACCGCCAGGGCTGATTCCTGAGTCAGCCAGGAGAGAGCCCCGAGCACTGCCAGGGCTGATTCCTGGGTGCTCGGCCAGGAGAGAGCCCCGAGCACCGCCAGGGCTGATTCCTGGGTGCTCGGCCAGGAGAGAGCCCCGAGCACCGCCAGGGCTGATTCCTGGGTGCTCGGCCAGGAGAGAGCCCCGAGCACCGCCAGGGCCGATTCCTGGGTGCACGGCCAGGAGAGAGCCCCGAGCACCGCCAGGGCTGATTCCTGAGTCAGCCAGGAGAGAGCCCCGAGCACCGCCAGGGCTGATTCCTGAGTCAGCCAGGAGAGAGCCCCGAGCACCGCCAGGGCTGATTCCTGAGTCAGCCAGGAGAGAGCCCCGAGCACTGCCAGGGCTGATTCCTGGGTGCTCGGCCAGGAGAGAGCCCCGAGCACCGCCAGGGCTGATTCCTGGGTGCTCGGCCAGGAGAGAGCCCCGAGCACCGCCAGGGCTGATTCCTGGGTGCACGGCCAGGAGAGAGCCCCGAGCACCGCCAGGGCTGATTCCTGAGTCAGCCAGGAGAGAGCCCCGAGCACCGCCAGGGCTGATTCCTGGGTGCTCGGCCAGGAGAGAGCCCCGAGCACCGCCAGGGCCGATTCCTGGGTGCACGGCCAGGAGAGAGCCCCGAGCACCGCCAGGGCTGATTCCTGGGTGCACGGCCAGGAGAGAGCCCCGAGCACCGCCAGGGCTGATTCCTGAGTCAGCCAGGAGAGAGCCCCGAGCACCGCCAGGGCTGATTCCTGAGTCAGCCAGGAGAGAGCCCCGAGCACCGCCAGGGCTGATTCCTGGGTGCTCGGCCAGGAGAGAGAGAGCCCCGAGCACCCCACCCCGAGACAACCCCAGCCCCCAGTCCCCAGTTGAACTGTCCTACGCACACCCGCGTCTCGGTCATTTCAGGAGCCCAGGCTTCCTCGGTGACGCCGGGACCGCCCCTCGCCTCCGCCCACCGCCCCCGCTCGCCGGCGCTGAGCCTTACCCAGCCGGGAGTCGGGCGAGCGCGGCCGGGGGAACCGAGGACGCGGCTCCGCCGGGCGCCGCCGGACCCTGAATCCCGCGCACCGGGACGGGTTCGCTGGCGGCTTCCGGGAGGGCCGAGTGTGCCGGCGACCGCCGCCATGGGGATCCTCGAGAAGATCTCGGAGATCGAGAAGGAGATCGCTCGCACGCAGAAGAACAAGGGTGAGGGCCCGGCCCGGCGGGGCCTCAGTTTTCCTGCCTGTAAAATGGGGGCGCCGGCGCGGCCGGCGGCTCTGGAGGGACGGGGTCTCGGGGCCAGGCCGGGGACCCGGTGGAGGGACCGCCCGAGCGGTGACCCGGCCGGGATCTGGACCTGGTGGCCGGCCCGGGGCTCGGAAGGGGCTGAGTCTAGGAGCCCCCCACAGCGCCGGCCGGAGCAGGCGGGCGCCCCGTGGCGGGGTGGATGCGTCCAAGATCTGGAGTCTGTTGGACCCAGGTTTGAAGCCCTGCTCCACCACGACTGCTGTGGAGCCCGGAAAGGCTCCGAGCTCAGTACCACCCCCCCTGCAGCGGGGGGTGACAGTAGCCCCCCGCCCAAGCTGTGTTGTTAGGGATTGTTGGCGAAGCAGGTGACACATGGCAGGCCAAGGAGAGTAGTAAGACCCTGGGCGTAAAGAAGCACCAAGTCCGAAGTTAGATAGTAAGACTGGGCAAGAGGGAAATGGACACACCCAAGAAGGCTTCCAGGAGAAGGTGGGACTCGAGGGGCGGGAACTCCAGGTGAGGAGCACTGCTGAGGCCAAGGCACAAGCATGGGAGGAGTGAGCCGGAGTGTTGATGGGGTAATGAGAACAGTCTTGAACAGGAGAGGCTGGAGTCGTGGAATATGCCAGGGTGAGCGCAGCTCAGCGCCTGCAAGTCCTGTTTGGTTGCCAAGCAGGAAGCAAGGAGTGCTGGCTGCTGGTGTCAGTGTCTGTTCCTCGGCAGCTCGGTTTAATTGTGCAGGGCCAGAGCCCTAGGACAGCTTGCCTTGCACATATTGGACCTGGGTTCAATCCCCGGTTTCCCAAGCCCTGTCAGAGGTGAGCTCTGAGCACCACCAGGTATGGCCTAAAATTCGTTTGGTTTTGAGGAAGGCTGAGATTCTGTACTTCATTCATTCTGTAAATCCTTTTGTTTGTTTTTGGGTCACAGCCAGGGATGCTCAGGGATTACTTACTCCTGGCTCTGCACTCAGGAATTACTCCTGGTGGTGCTGGGAGAACCATATGGATGTTGGGGATCGAACTCTGTGTCGGCCGCATGCAAGGCAAATGCTGACCCGCTGTGCTATTGCTGTGTCCCTCATTCTGTAAATCTCTATTGAGGCTGTAATTTGTGCTGGGCACTGCATTAAGAGCAGTGTGCTTTTCAGGCACGTTCCTGCTGTGGAAGAATTGACTCAGGGGCTGTCTAAACTCGTAACCAAGTGAGATGGTTTTAGCCAGTAATAAAAGCCATGGAGGAAAATCAGTGTAGTCGAGCAAAGTGTCAGAGGGTGAGAGTTTGGTCTGCTATGGTGGAACGATCAGAAATGATCACTGAGAAAGGTATGTTGGGGCTGAGAACTGCATAAGAAGGAACCAGCCGACTTCTGGGAAGACTATTCCTGGCAGCTCGGAAACAGACGTGTTGGCAGGAACAAACTTGACGTGTTCAAAACCAGAAAGAGGTCTCGGATTGGAGCACAGTGAGGGAAAGGTGAGAACCAGTTATATAGCCGACCCTGCAGGTCGTGGGAAAGAGTCTTAAGTGTTGTTCTCATGGTGGCAGGAGCTAGTGGAGGATATTAAACAGAAAAAGGACATGGTCTGACGGGGGCTTGGACCGCACCACACCCGAGCGGTTCTCAAGGCTTATTCCTGGCTCTGTGCTCAGGCATCATTCCTGGCAAACTCAGGAGACTGTATGGCATGCTGGGGATCGAACCCAGTTGGCTGTGTGCATGGCAAGTGCCCTACTCACTGTACGCTCTCTCCCCTGCTTTGATATTTTTTGTTTAAATGTTTTGCCTTTGGGCCCATACCCAGCTTTGCTCAGGGGTTTATGGTGTTTTGGGGACGGCCATGCAGTACAGGGAAGCCTGACCCCCATATGCACTCAGCCCAGTAGCCAGTCTGTGCAGCCCTCGATTTCTGTTAGGGACATTCCCTCTGGCTGCCCTGTGGAGTATAATCTATGGGGTCTCTCAGGGAGGCTTTGGAGAGACCGGCAGTGACCACCACCTTGGCAGGGTGGAGACAGATGTGAGGGTGCTGAAGACTTGGTCCTTGCTTTCAGAGATGCTTTAAACTGGAGCTGAGATGACAGCCAGAACAGAGGGGGGAGCCACACCTAGTGGTGCTCAAGGGCTGCTCCCAATTTGGTGCTGGGGATTACTCCTGGCAGTGCTCAGGGGTCCAAGTAGTACCAGGGATAGGGCCTGGATGTTCCACATGCAAAGCATTCACCCCAGCCCTTTGTGCTGTCTCGCTAGGCCTTAATTTCCTTCTTCACCATTTTTCACTGTCTTGAGTTTACTCATTCATTTACCAGATGTTTCTGGAAAATGTAAAATGCACATGCCCTGTTCTGGAAACTGAGATTAGGACTGTGATAGCTCCTCTTCTTGCCCTGATTGAATTAAAGAAGGAAAGGAACGAGCTAACTTCTAATAACGGTAAGATCTATGCACACACTGCATCAGATCAGGAGCCAAGAGGCGCCCGGGGAGAGAAGGGGTCCTATTGATAGGAAGGTGATGATAAGAACCTGGTTTTACCATGTGCACACTGGGTGCTGGTCACTGTTCTGAGTGCTCGTGTCCTCCCTCCGTGCTAGGTGCCTAACCCAGACACCCACACATTCCATGCTACTGAGCCCCCTCTCGGCCATCTTAGACTTTCTTTAAGCTTCAGTGAAGTCAGTGTAGTCATTATTGTTGTTAATGTCTCAGGTTTGTAGGTTAGAAATTGATATCCAGATTAACTCTCCCAAGATAAAATGGGCAGTAAGGACAATGGGTTCCAACATAGACCTCCCCTCACCACCCTCTCCAAGGTGGGAGAGGCAAGTGTTTGGACTAGATCCAGTGGTGCTCAGAGCCTTCTCGTGGCTCTGTGCTTAAGGATCACTCCTGGTGGGCATTAGGGACCATATGGGATGCCACAAATCAGTCTCGTATCAGCCATGTGCAAACCAAGTACCCTACCTGCTGTACTGTCTCTTTGCTCCCACACCCAACATAGGCTTTTAAACTCTGTAAGGCCTCTGATAGGTGACATTTGAGCAACCCTCAAATGTTACAGAGGTATAGCCCTGAGAGGATAGCATTGAAATGGAGGAAACAGTAAGTGCAAAGGTCCTGAGGCAGGAATTGAGGTCAGATGTTCTGAAGAAACAAAAAGAAAGCCACTGGTGGCGGGAATGCCGACTGGTTCAGCCTTTTTGGAAAACAGTATGGACGATTCTCAAAAAATTAGAAATTGAGCTCCCATTTGACCCAGCAATACCACTCCTGGGAATATATCCCAGAGAGGCAAAAAAGTATAGTCAAAGTGACGTCTGCACTTGTTTGTTCATTGCAGCACTGTTTACAATAGCTAGAATCTGGAAAAAACCTGAATGCCCAAGAACAGATGACTGGTTAAAGAAACTTTGGTACATCTACACAATGGAGTACTACGTAGCTGTTAGAAAAGATGAAGTCATGAAATTTATATATAAGTGGTACTACATGGAAAGTATCATGCTAAGCGAAATGAGTCAGAAAGAGAGGGACAGACATAGAAAGATTGCATTCATCTGGGGAACATAAAGTAACAAAATAGGAGACTAACACCCAAGAATAGCAGAGTACCAGGTTTTAAGTACCAGGAGGTTTACTCCATGGCTTGGAGGCCAGCCGCACACACTGGGGGAAAAGGCAGCTCTGATAGAGAAGGGAGGACCAAATAAAGGGTGTTGGGAGGATCCTCCCAGGATGGGAGATGCGTGCTGAGAGTAGACTGTAGACCGAACATGATTGCAACTTAATGCCTCTTTTGCAAACCACAGCACCCAAAAGGAGAGAGAGAACAAGGGGGAATGCCCTGCCACAGAGGCAGGGTGGGAGGGGGGGACGGGGGGTGGGAGGGATACTGGGATCAGTGGTGGTGGAGAATGGGCACTGGTGGAGGGATGGTTATTCGATCATTGTATAACTGAAACTCAAGCACAGAAATTTGTAAATCTACAACTAATAAAAATCTAAAAAAAAGAAAAAAAAAGAAAGCCACTGGGGCTGAAAATAGACAATAAAAGGGAGGGTTGTTGGAGCAGCTGAAACAGTGCCATGGACTGGTTACCTGGGGCCCTGATTCTCAGCCCTGATTTCTTTCACAGTGAAGATTATGTAACACCCCTTTTTATTTTAGGGGACAGTTGTTGCCGCCATGTGGTCCAAGTGTTTCTGACTAGCACTGGGTCTTAGGGGAGACCCCCGCCTCCATCCCCCAGGGCCTGCTTAGCCCTGTTGCTCACCTACTGCTTTGCTTCTCTCCTTCAGCCACAGAGTATCACCTGGGCCTGCTGAAAGCCAAACTTGCAAAGTACCGAGCCCAGCTCTTGGAGCCATCCAAATCCGCCTCGTCCAAAGGAGAGGGCTTCGATGTTATGAAGTCAGGGGATGCCCGCGTGGCACTGATTGGATTCCCCTCTGTGGGTAAGGTCAGTGATGGTTGGTGTGGGCGGGGGAAGGGCAGCTCCTCCCCTTTACACTCCTGTCTGCGCCTCTTCTTGTGGTCAGTGCTGTTCCCCGGGCTCAGGGCTCACCCCTGACCCAACGTGCAAAAGGGTCTTTCTCTCCCTCAGAGCTCACCCACTGGTCTCTGGCTCCTGTTGTGCCGGCACTGTGCCCCACAGCTCCAGCCCCGCCATAGTCACCTCTGTTGTCTAGGGAAAAAGGACAGTAAGTGACACGGTACCATGGGTGGCGCGGGGGTGCGGAGACCACCTGTGTGCATCAGAGGCCCAGGAGGGCTGCAGTAGAGAAGGGCTTCTTCACTTTTGTCCACTTGTTACTCTTTTCACCTAGAGAATTATTCTTTTATTTATTTATTTATTTTTGCTTTTTTGGGTCACACCCGGTGATGCACAGGGATCACTCCTGGCTCTGCACTCAAGAATTATCCCTGGCGGTGCTCAGGAGACCATATGGGATGCTGGGAATCGAACCTGGGTCGGCCGCGTGCAAGGCAAACGCCCTACCCGCTGTGCTATCACTCCAACCCCTAGAGAATTTTTGGTTTTGACAGTGCGCAGGGGTTATTTCTGGCGCTGTGCTCAAGGATCACTCCTGGCGGTGCTCAGGAACAATATGGGGTGCCAGGGATTGAACCTGAGTCCGCTGCATGCAAGGCAAACGCCCTGCCTGCTGTACTATTACTCCAGCCTCATGCTCAAGGAATTTTTATGTGTCCCGGGTATATAAAAAGGTACACAAATAGTTTACAATAATCAGTCATGGGCTGGAGCAATAGCATAGCAGGTAGGGCATTTGCCTTGCATGCAGCCAACCTGGGTTCGATCCCCGGCATCCCATATGGTCCCCGAGATCCTCCAGGAGAAGTTCCAGAGTCCAGAGCCAGCAGTAACCTCAGGGCATCAGCAGTTGTGACCCAAAAAGCCAAAATAAAACAAAATGAAACGAACCTCAATTGTAAAGACATTTATTTCAAATAGCCCCATGTTCATTTATGTGGCCTCAGTTGGAGAAATGGGGCTCAAGTGAGCAGATACTTTAGCAAAGTTCTCTGGCGGGTTGGGGGTTTGGTGAGCCCTTTAGAAAGAGCATCCAGAGAGGGGGAGCAGAGAGCGCGAGAGCTGGGAGTGGGCATTCACTGCTGTATTCAGGGTCAAGGATGGGCTCAATCCCTGGCACCATGTATGTTCCCCAAGGACCACTAGGAGTGATCCCTGAGCACAGAGCCAGGAGTTAGCCCTGAGCACGCCAGGGTGGCCTCGAAACAAACTACTGTGCTCAGGGCTTGCTTCTAGCTCTGTGCTCAGGGCTCCTGGTGGGATGAGGGGACCAAATATAATACTGGGCACCTAGTCCCGTTAGGCCACATGCTAGGCACGCACAACCTTTTTTGGCACGAGGTGGATTTTTTTTTATATATTTATTTTGGGTTTGGGGGTCACACTCGCTGTTCTCAGGGCTTACTCTGCACTCAGGGATCACTCCTGGCAGTGCTTGGGGGACCATATGTGGTGCTGGGAATTGAACCTGGGATGGCCGCGTGCAAGGCTCTTTCTGCTGCACTGTTGCTCAGCCCCTGACATCCCTTTTGATGCTGACCTTGGTCACCTGGCTGCCAGTCTGCTGATTCTCCCCCTCCACACTGTCCTTCAAGCATCTGTCACTGTGTGCAGCCCTCAGAAGATGGGTGGGGAGTTGGTGCTGCCATATTGAAGGACAGGGCAGAGTGAGCACGTGAATTCCCCTGCATAAGAGCTTTGTCTCCTCTTGCATTTATTTTAGTTATTTATAGCAGTGTGGTTCCTGGGCAATTTCGTTTGCTCTTTGAGTATTATCGCAGCCTGTTATTTGTTGCTGAGCTTGCTCTAGGTTGGCACGCTTTCCAGACTCTTTGGCACGTGTTGTTCCCACTGGGCATTTGCAGCTTCCTCACTTTCCAACCCACCCTGCAGTGTGCTGCAGCCCCTCTAGTGTGGTCCCTCTCCCAGGTCTCGAATTGGCCATCTGGCCAGGGAGCCCCGCTTCCTTGTGTCAGAGAGTGCCAGTCCTAAGAAACCAAGGTCTGGGCACTGGTTGATGTTGGCCGCTGTAGCTGCCGTGTGGATCTGGGGGCGCCGTGTGGGAGTCGGGAGCCAGAGAAGCTGCGCAGGCAATGGCAGGCAGCCGAGACCGGGCGCTTGCAGGGTAGCTGTTACTTTAGGATTTTGGTGGCGGGGCTGAGGATGGGTTTGGGCTGTCTGTACCCAGGTAGTGCTCAGGAACTCTTACTGGCTCTGTGCTCAGCAGTGACACCTTGGTGGTGCTCAGGGGACTGGATGTAACTAGGTTAAGTGCCTACTTTCCGCACTATCTGCCCTGGCATGGAGCAGTTTGTTTTGTGTGGGGGTCACAGCCAGCGGTGCTCAGGGCTTATTCCTGGCTCTGCGTTCAGGGATCACTCTTAGTCGAGCTTGGGGAACCAGAGAAGGTGCAAGGGGTCAAACCTAGGTTGACCTGGTTCAGGGCAGGTGCCTTATGTGCTCTGGCCTACTATCCACCTAGGGCCTTCCTAGGCAAGCAGATTTTAAATCAGTTCTTTTAAAGAAAAGGTAAAGGTAAAGGTAAAGGCCCTCCCGTTGATCGTCGATTTGCTCGAGCGGGCCCAGTAACGTCTCCATTGGAGACTTTGTTGTTACTGTGTCTGGCATATCGAATACTCTCGGTAGCTTGCCGGGCTCTCCGAGAGGGGCGGAGGAATCGAACTCGGGTCGGCCATGTTGGCCGCTTGTAAGGCGAATGCCCTACCCGCTGTGCTATCGCTCCAGCCCGCTAAGAAATCTATAGTAAACACATTCTTCTGACCCACTCAGGATAAGGTGGTAACAGCTCCCAGCTCCTAAGTGTTTGCTGCAGACTGAGGAGTATATTCGACTTTGTTCCTCCCTCTGCCCGTGTCACAGGTATGACACGGGTGGGTGGATAGTGCTCTGCTCTCTCACCCCAACCCCATGGATGGGGACATACAATGGAAATGGAATGTCTCCTGCACTGTCCATTGGCCTTTTCACCTCACCATGGGCCTCTGCCACATTCATCTTTTTTCTCTTTGTTTTTGAGCTGTTCCCGCCATGCTCGGGGTCACCCTGCTGTCCTGCGTGAAAGGCACGTGCTCCTCCCTTGGAGCTGTCTCCCCGCCCAGCCATCGCACCTCTCACTGCAGCCTCCTGGGACCCATGTCAGCAGCCCCCTTGAGTCCCTCCCTGTCTTCCCAGGGTTAGTACCAGGCCACTGCAAGCCCCAGTGCTATCGTGGACACAGCTCTGCACAGAAGAGCTACTGTCATGGAGAAAGCGACCCTGAAAGGGGACATGGAGCCTGTGGTTGCAAATCCCATCTGTCAGCCTCCAGAGAAGTACAAGCTGACTCCATCAGGAGGCAGCTGAAAACATTTTGGGCATCTGCTCCTGGCCCTGCAGTGGACTGTGTTGCTGTCTGGGACAAGGTTCCGCTTCAAAATCAGCAGCATTCCTTCCTCAGGGCAGGCAAGTGCTTCTTAGTCTTGGAGAACACTCCAGGCCCTGCTGGGTTCTTAGGAGTCAGAGCCAGCTGAGCGCATAGTCTTCCGGTCCTTTATTGGTGTGGGCGTGGGGACATCCAGTATCAGTTTAGTAATTGTCAGAGTAATAGTTGAACCCAGGTGAGAAAGTTGCAGTAATGCAAGTTACAAAAGACACTGGAAACTGCAGCCAGGCCCTCTGCAGCTTCTAGTACTTCATTTGCATTTTATCAGGTCAACCTCTTTCAGTGCTTCTCTGAAATGGGAGCATAGTAACCTGACACAAAGGGAATTTAGCTTCCGCCTCTTAGAAGATCCCAGGCCCTATCAGTGCACTTGTGAGTTTGGCTGAACTGTAAAGTGTGGGGGCTGATGAGTGGTACAAAACAGGTGGGTTTTTTTTTTCTTTTTGGAACACACCCAGCTGTGCTCAAGGCTAACCCTGTAATCCTAACTCTTCGCTCAGAAATTACTCCTGGAGGTGCACAGGGGACCATATGATATGCTGGGGGTCACACCTGGGTCGGCTGCATGCAGGACAAGCGCCCTACCCGCTATGCTATTGCTCAGCCCAGGATAGGTTTCTAGTTCCGTTCTTCCTTATTAGCTGGCATTCCCCAAAAAGAGCTGTTGGCCCCAAGAAAGTTCCTCCAGAAAGGCATGACACGTGGTTGCCTGTGGCCTGAGGGACGGCAGGATTGTGGGTTCACAGCTGCTCCCGGGGGGTGGGGTCGGAGGATTTTCATGTTATGATGGATTCATCATAAGAAAGAAAAGGACTCAGCCTTTCCTTTCACCCTGACTTTGTAGCCTGCCATGCCCTGGGCATCTGAGTCCTGCTGGGAAGTCTGGCTCTCGGACCAGCGGGGACAGAGCTGTCTTCGGGCTTCCTGAGGAGTGTAGCTCGGTGTCTCCACAGACACGACCCTCCAGGCCACCAGGCCATGTCTGTGTGGGCCTGAGGACCCCACTTGTGCTCTCTGTCCCCATGTTTCCATGGTCCCCAGGGAGGAGAGTTTTGGGATTCTGGAATTTAGAGATCTGAGGTTGCAGGGTGGGGAAGGTGTACCCCCAGCTCTCCTGCCTTACCAGTGAGGGGCCAGGGAACAGGCCCTGTCAAGCTGGGATGGGGTAAGGGGGATCCCCCTGCAAGTGCTGCCTCTGCTTAATGGGCCCCATGAGTTCCTCTTTGGGCTCAGAATTCCAAGTGCCTGGCTGTCTCCTTTAATCCCCTTGCGGCCTTGAGAGGTGGGGGTCAGCTGGCCAATGACTGTATCCTGTCAACCCCACCCATTCTGTGTGGCATTTGAAAAAATTGTGCATTCATTGAAATAATTTGTGTGAATGTAAATTCTGACAGCTCAGTAAGAATGGTTTTTGAACAATCATTACTTACGTGGCTGGTACCAGGGAGTAGAGCCAGAGGGCCTGCTTTGCACAGATGGAGGCCTGGTACCACATCGTCGCCTGAGAGGTGCCTAGAATCCCCATGCACCAGGTTGGGTGCAGATCCTGAGCACTGCTGGATGTGGCCTAAAATCCCCCCAAATAATCATTTGTAGGCCAAGGCTGTTCTCAGAGTATTGCATTAGCTTTGCACTAACGTGTGAGGCCCTGGGGTCAGCTCCCATTGCTGCCAAATAAATACCATGAGACGTGACAACAGTCAAACCAGAATCTGCCTTCTGAGACCATCTATTGTGAAGCCATGTGACGTTTGAAAAGGCCTCAGTTTCAGAATTTTAGCGCTCTGGCTTTAGCTTAGAGAATGAAGTTTCATGCCCCGAGCCCCAGCCAGGTGTCCCACTCCCTGTCAACCCCATCCCCACAGTGCCCATCCAAGTCCTTCCCGCTCCCTCGCTCTCCCTTAGTGGCTTTTCCGTCTTCACGATATCTTCCCCCTCCTCACGGCTCAGTTTCCCCACAGCTTGCTCTGTCTGGCAAGAAGGTTGCTTGTTCTCTGATGCCCATGAGAGCTGGGGGGTTTAGTGGACCCAGGGAAGGGCAAACCACATGGAAACGCTGTCCCTGAGTGCCCCGAGCCAGCCTCGGAGACAGCGGAGCCTGGGGACTTTCCCAGCTGTTGTCCTAAATACCCCGGGAAGGTGACCAGGTCCCTCCGCTGCCTCCAGGAGGCAGTCAGGACCCCTTACCACGGTGACCTTTCTCTCCTAGTCCACCTTCCTGAGTCTCATGACCTCCACTGCCAGCGAGGCTGCATCCTACGAGTTCACCACCCTGACGTGCATCCCTGGCGTCATCGAGGTAATGGGTTTGCCAGGATCTGAGCGGGGAGGGGCCTTGGCGGGTGTGAGTGTGAGTGTGTGTGTTTGTGAGTGTGTGCGGTTTGTGTGCTGGCATGTGTGTGCGTGTGTGTCTTGGGGAGTTGGGGCACCGTTTATCCCTGTGGGGTAAGGCTCTGACTGAGCTGCTTTGCTGCCTGTGGGTGTTTGGGCTGTAGGACTCCTCAGAGAAGCCTGGTGTTCGGAACCCCAGAGGTCCCAGGAGTCAGGCATCGCTGCTGCTCCTCGCACCACGCCAGTCTGTCACCCCTTGCTGCTCTGCTAGGCCCTCCATGCCCTGTGAGGCATTGGGATGGGGGTTCTGCAGCCCAGGTTCCAGAGTATGCAGGCTTCCACAGTGAAGGAAGCTGTTCCCTTCAAAACTGTGTCTTGTTGTTTGGTTGGTTTGGGGGGCCACACCTGGCAGGGCTCGGGGACCATATGGGGTGCCGGGGATTGAACCCTGATCTGCTGCCTGCAAGGCAAGTGCCTCTCTTTTGGTGCTGCCACTCCAGCCTCACTCAGCAGTGTGTCTTGTGGGCTGTGAGAACTCAGGAGCCTGTCCCCACCCACTTCTTCCGCTGCAGGGAGTGACATGACTCAGCCTAGGTGCCACCCCCTGGTGTCCTGCTGCCCTCAGTGCAGGCCATTGTTGGTACCACGAGTCCAGAACCACTGAGGAGGGGGGCACCCTGGAATCTTGCCTAAGCTTTTTCCCTTCTTCATTTCAGTACAAAGGTGCCAACATCCAGCTTCTGGACCTTCCTGGGATCATTGAAGGAGCAGCACAAGGTAGGAAGAGGTGGTAGGGAAACATGGTAGAGCTCTGACCTGGGCCCCCATCTTATTGTGGGGAACATGATGGAGCTCTGGCCTGGGGCCCCCATGCGGCTCTGGCCTGGGCCCCCCATCCCCTCATGGAGTTTGGCCTCACGGTGAGAACTGGATGTGGCTGTTGGACATGGAAGGGCCCCTCACAGTCCCTTGCATGCTCAGTCCTCTGACCTCTGGGTCTCTGGCCTCTTCGAGTCCTGGGATCCTCCTCTCACCTACCCTCTAGCCCCCGTCAGGATAGGGAAACTGAGTGAGCCAGGGAGCTCGTTTGCCCAGGGCCACCGTGACCAACTGGAGTTCCTGCTTCACTTCATTCACGAGCTGCTGGGACAGCCACACTCCAGCGGGGTCCTGCCTTTGCTGTTGTATGTAGTGGAATGCCTGGGGTTTCAGGGTACACGTGACTACTTGCTTAGACTTTCCAAGCTCCAGATTCTGTGCTGACCTGTACCTCAGTTAAACCTCAAAAGGCTAGGCAGGGACTAGAGAGATCGTACAGAGGATAGGGTGTTTGCCTTGCACTTGCAACCTGGATTCACTCCCCAGCACCTCAAACGATCCCCCGAGCCTTGCCAGAGGTGATCCCTTAGCACAGAGCTAGGAGTAAGCCCTGGGCACTGCCAGGTGTGGCTCAAAAAAACAAAAAGAAAAAAAATCAGAGGACTCAGCCGCTTAGGGGGTACAATCAGAAAAGCAAAGGGTAGAGGGGCATCTGACCCACCCCGTGCCCCCCATCCTGCCTCCTCTTTGAGGGGTCCCTTGCTTCCCCGTCTCTCCTGTGCCCTGCCCTCCTTGTCCCCCCAAGATCTTTCTGGCTTGAGTTGGGAGTAATGCCGTCCCAGCCAGCGAGGGGGGGGGGGGGCCTGGGGATGGGCTTGCCCATGAGGGAAGCACTGGCCAGTGGCCCTGACCAGGTCTGATTATCAGAAGGAGAGGAGCGGACCTAGTTGGCACCCCGCCACCTGGATTCTGCTTCTGCAGCTTTGCTCCCCAACTTCCATGACTATGACTTCATGCTCAGCTTCTCTGGTCGTCTAATAGCACTGGGGTCTGGCCGGCATGTGGCTATTCCGAAACTGTTGCCTCTCTTTCATGTTGGGTTCTACCTGTTTGCGAGAAGGGGTAGGAGTTCAGATCCCGACAGCGCGCTGCCTTGGTGCTCCCAGGCGGGGGCTACAGAGGCATAGTGCCCAGCCTCCGTGTTCCCTGTGTGCGATGGCACTGACTCAGAGAGGAGAGTTCTTTGTGGTTTGGTTTGGGGGTCATACCTAGAGGTGCTCAGGGCATACTCCTGGCTCTCTGCTCAGGAATCACTCCCGGTGGGGTTCAGGGTACCATATGAGGTGCTGGGGATCAAGCCCAGGTCAGCTGCATGCCAGGCAAGCACCGTGCCTGCTGTATGATGATTCTGGTTCCTAGAGAGCAGTTCTGGGGGCAGGTGAGGAGGTGGTGGTGTTGGAGGCATCATTCCCTTTCAGACAAGTCTCCTTGAGGAGTTTAGCGTGCAGCTCAGAGAAGAACTTGGGGAAGATCCCAGCTCGGGACAGCCCCCGGCAGAGTCCTCTGTGGGCCAGGGAGGGCAGGAGTCTGTGGTATTGCCTCATGCCACTGTGACTATGTCCCTTCCTCCTGCACAGGGAAAGGCCGTGGCCGACAGGTGATCGCTGTGGCGCGCACGGCTGACGTGGTCATCATGATGCTGGATGCCACCAAGGGAGAGGTGCAGAGGTTCGTGAGGCGGGGGGGGGGGGGGTTGGCTGTGGTGGGGGACCTCCAGGCGTGGCACTTATATACCAAGGCTCCGGCTGCTGTGTCCCTAGTTCCCCGTAGTGGACTGAGGGATGCTGGTCCCTCAAGTATGGGCATGACAGCAGGCCTGTCACCGGCTCAACCCAACACAAGTGGCCCAGAGCATCCTTTGCAGGCTCATGTCCAATTTGGGTGTTTGAGGGCAAGGAGTCCCCTCAGCAGCTCCAAATTTCCAGGGCTTGATCTTGCCAGGCCACCCTCGGCCTGGGCAGAGTTGAGAGGCTCCATCCTGCCACTCTGTGTTCCTGGGAAGGGACATTCTGGGCTTCCAGCGGAGGGGGATGGAGGCTGAGTCCTAGAAGACAGGGTCTTCCTGTGGAAAGTGGGCACCAGTGAAAGCTTGTGGGGACTTTGCTAGGTCTCTGCTGGAGAAGGAACTGGAGTCAGTGGGCATCCGCCTCAACAAGCACAAGCCCAACATCTACTTCAAGGTGAGGCCCTGGCTCCTGGGGCGGGCGCACGGGCAGCCGCCACTGTGCCATTGGTTGGTTGGTTGTCAGCAGCTGTTCCTTCCTCTCTGCTCCTCCAGCCCAAGAAAGGAGGTGGTATCTCCTTCAACTCCACGGTCACGCTGACTCAGTGCTCAGAAAAGCTGGTGCAGCTGATCCTACATGAGTACAGTATCCTTTCAGGAAGAGCAGGCAGGCTCCCTTCAGGGCAGGAGGGACTGCAGGCAGCCTGTGTCCCTGTGTCCCTGTGTCCCTGTGTCCCTGTGTCCCACTCCTCGGCCCCAGGCTGTTCTGCGGCCTGGGGTGCTGACAGCATGTGGCGGTGACCAGTTCCCTCGGGCAGGGAAAGGAAGTGGGGAACATGCCCTGGTGGACCTGTCAGTACACCGCAGGGGACTGTGGGCAGGACTCCAGAGATAGTGCCCCTGGGGGTCTGACAGTGCTCAGAGCAGCTCTGGAATCCCAAGGCAGTGGTGTTCTGAGTTCTGTTCTCTGATACAGATGGTGGGTTTGTTGCTACACCTGGTTGTGCCTCGGACCTACTCTTGGCTCTGCTCAGGGATCACTCCTGGCACGGCTGGGGATCAAACCCAATAAGGCAACTGCTTTCTCGCTGTACCTGCAGATGTATATTCTCTTATATTATGGTTCCGCTGGGGGGAGGGGACGGGAAAGGAGGCTCTTCCAAGGTCCCTTTTATGACCTTTTGAAGTCTCCTATGAGGGCCTAGTCAGTGCTGGGGCGCAGGTTATCCTTAGCACGTCTCCCCTAGAAATCTTCAACGCAGAAGTGCTCTTCCGAGAAGACTGCTCCCCAGATGAGTTCATTGACGTGATTGTGGGCAACCGTGTATACATGCCTTGCTTGTATGTAAGTGGAGCCAGTTCCCCGACCCCATGCTTGTATGTTTGTGGGAGGTGGGGAGAGGCCTTTCTACAGGTACATGCTTTTGCGAAGAAGAGGGAGAGCCTGAGACCATCGCCCTGTCCCCAGACTCCCCCCCAGCGCCTGCTTGAATCTTGGCAGACATGGCTATCTTGGGGTGGGGTTTGAAGCTACGCGCGCGCGCGCGCGCGCGCACACACACACACACACACACACACACACACACACACACACACACCCTCAAGTTCTTGACTGGGCCATGGCAGAAAAGTTTGGGGGTGAGGGACTGGGGTTTTTCCTGTACATCTTTATTCCTGTTCTTGCCCAACACCTACCCTCATGGTTTGAATCCCAGGTTTACAACAAAATTGACCAAATTTCCATGGAAGAAGTGGACCGCCTGGCCCGAAAACCCAACAGCGTAGTCATCAGGTGAGATTCCTCCCCTCCGGCTGCTCTGGTTTCCTTTCTCCTTGTGCCTTGGACCAGGTCTGCCAGCCATGAGGCCAGGCCCAGACTCCGCAGTAAGACTTGGGGCCGGAGACATCTCTTGGGTCTTGTCTTCTCTGAACGAGTGTGACAGGACAGGTAGGGGTGGAGGGCTGGTGAAGGAAACAGGATTTCATTTTTATAGGAAAATGGGCAGGAATGGTTAAGAGTCCCTCGTTTGTAAGTAATCGTGTTTCCCAGGAGGCCCCCGAGTTACTGCCAGTGCTCCTGATGCCTCTGCAGGACGGAGGACGGAGCCCAGGCCTCCTGGGAGCCGGGGCTTGCTCTGCTTGCCACTGACTCACTCACTCCCTGCCAGTCTATGCATTCTGCTTGAGAGGGGACAGAGTTGTGTGTTGCTCTTGGCTGGTTTTCCAGCTGGAGCCAGATGTTAGATCCCAGGTGGGGGTGACTGTACCTGTGACAGGGAGGACTCCTGGCCTTAAGTGTAAGGACATCTGGGCAGTGCCTGTGGCTGCTGGGAGCAGTAAAGCAGTGTCTGCCAGGCCCATCCTCAGGCCGGGAGAGTGCTCCCACCTGTCTCACAGCCGCTCTGGAAACCAGGGCGCCCCTCGGGTTAGCCCACGGAGCAGTCAGGGCGCCTGAGGGGAGCCCCCTCTGCTTCCCTGTGCAGTCCTCCCCGCAGTTCTGCATCCTCAGAGCAAGCGCCTGTGTCAGTGGCTGGGGTGTATGCACCCCATGGAGCACAGCTGGGACCTAGGAGAGGGGTTGAGCATTCTGGGGTGTGACACAACCAACAACTAGAGGCGTTAAACTCATCAAAACTAAAGACATGGGGGCTGGAGAGATAGCGCCGCTGATAGGCTGCTTGCCTTGCACGTGGCTGACCTGGGTTCAGTCCCCGGAGTCTCATATGGTCCCCTGAGCACCACCAGGAGTGATTCCTGAGCGTGGAGACAGGAGTAACCCCTGAGTATCACCGGCTGTGATCCAAAAACTGAAAACAACAAAGCTGCAGACATGGTTCCCACAGCTGGGCCACACTGGCCTGGGTGCCTTGTCCAGCCAGGGGAGACACTCCTGTACCCCAGCAGGCCCCCAGCCCTGGACCCACAATCCCTGGGCTGACCTTCTTCCCCCCTCTGCAGCTGCGGCATGAAGCTGAACCTGGACTACTTGCTTGAGATGCTCTGGGAGTACTTGGCGCTGACCTGCATCTACACCAAGAAGAGAGGGCGTGAGTAGGGCAGTGTGGGGCCCAAGGAACTGACTCAGCCTCCCCATCTCTGGCGCTGGGCCCAAGGCCTACTGCCTGCCCAGGCCCATCCTTGACCAGCTCGTCTTTACCCACCTGAGCCTTTCTTCCCTCTCAGAACCTGCACTACCCCGCCGCCCCAGCTAGGAGGGGTGGGCCAGAATCCTTAGAGCAAAGAATGCCAAGTTTGGGAATACTGGTCTAGAGTGACCTTAGTGACTTTGGCAGCTGTGGGGGTGGGCTGGGGCAGTGAGGTAGCCTTTCCTTGAGTTCCCCACTGTCAGAGACACTTGACCTTGTCAGCAGAGGCAGCAGTGAGGCCCCTGACTGGGCCCCTACAGCTGTCACAGCTTGCCAGTGAAATCCAAATGTTCCACTGGGCTTATCTCCCTCGGGGCTCTCATGGGTGATGCTGGAATTCTGGACTCGGGCTTTGCTTTGGTTCCTCCTCCATTAAGATGGAGGTTGTAGAACAGTGTGTGATGGGTAGCGAAGGTACCCACATAGCCAGAGGGCCACTGTGCCCTTGTGGAAGGCACTCAGAAATGTGGGGCTGCGAATGTGTTTGGCCTCTCTGTCCCCAACCTCCATCTTTCCCGGCAGAGAGACCGGACTTCTCGGACGCCATCATCCTCCGGAAAGGGGCCTCTGTGGAGCATGTGGTGAGTGATGAGACCTGCCTAGACAGGGTGCGGGGTGCTGCCTGGAGGTCTCTGGCCCTTCTGGCTCTTGGGTGACACTGTGTTGCTGGGTCGCCTCTTGAATCCTCTCAAGAGAGAGAGGGAGTCTGCTCTCCAGTCACCTGGCATTTGGGGGTGTTTGGGCATGTGAAATACTGGGGTGCTGCCTGACCCTGGGTGGGTGTCCAGCAGCCTCCTAGAGCTACGAGGATGTAGTGCTCCAAGTCGCAGTTTCCCAAGCCCATGGGGGTTCAAAGTTCTCACCAAGTCATTGATGCCTGCTGCTGCCCGGTCCCCCATTTTGCCTGTATTGTGTCCTGCCCTTTCCTGCTCCCATATCCTGACACCCCCCACCCAGGGCTGCCTTTCCATGCCTCGTGCATACTGTTCCTCAACTCCTCCCCAAAAGGAGTCCCTGCTCCTGACAGAAGAGCAGGAGTGAGCGGGAGAAGCTGTTCTGGAAACTACAGGTGCAAATGCCCAGTGGCAGGAGCCAAAGTGGGGGCGTGTTGACTGTTGTCATCTGGGGCTGGGAGGGTCAGAGGCAGCATGTGCTAGAGCCACAGTGGGAGGAGAGGTCGGCAGGCCGGAAAGGACACTGGGGGTGTTGCTCCTGGGCCTGGACTTCATCTTCAGGGATTTCCTTCCTCCCAGCTGGCCGCTCTGTAGACGGCTCTCTCCCAGGGCACCTCTGCTCCCAGGTGCCATGAATACTGGTAGAGAAACCATTGAAATTAGGTAAACTGAGCTCCCCCATTCTGATTGTCAGTCAACTCTGTCCTCCGCTTCCTGTACAGGAGTCACAGACTCCTCAGCGTGCCCAAACCAGGCTCTGCTGTACTCCGCGAGAGCTGACAGGACCTGGCGGGCCTTTGACAGGCACGTTGACCTCTGAGGAGTGAGCTGCAGGGGAAATGGTGCTTGAAATGCTTTAGTGTCAGAGACATGGGGCACAGAGGGGCCCGTGACAGCAGCGTGAAGATGCCTCATCTGTTCCAAGGCTGACCCTAACCCAGCCCCGCTGCATACCCAGGGTGCCGAGAGGATCCCTGTGATGTGGATTCTACTCTCTAGACGTTGCCCCAGGGGTTGAGTTTTGTTACTGTTGGGCAGACTAAACAAGATACATATATCTCCAGTCCCTGTGCAGACTGGATCTGACTTTGGGGACATTAGATTGCATTCTTTTCCAGCAGACAGCGAATGTCGGAACAATTGTGTGGGTATCAATACATCTGTCCTTGTCACTGCTTTAGCTTCTGCTTCATGGCTCCTTGCTCAACCCGAGGAGATCTGAGTCAGACCAGCCTTCTGTTACACTCGGGAAATGTTTGGGACATGTTTGTTTTTTGGTGTTTTGGATCATGTTGTGTTCAGGGACTGCTCTCAGCTCGGTGCTCAGGGGTGACTCCCAGCAGTGACCATGTGGAAACCAGGGATTGAATCTGGGCCTCTTACATGCAAAGCATGCACCCCAGTTCATAGAGCTCTCTGCTCCAGGCCTCAAAAAAATGCTCTTTCAGGCCTGACCTGGGCTCCGCACCCCCACCAGGCTGAGGCACATGGCTTCTGAGCATGGTCTGGAAAGGTGTTGGGGCAGGAGGCAAGCTGTGTGGCACCTCCTGCTCTCCCCGCTGCCTGCACCTCCCCCAGGAAGCACCAAGCAGCGAGAGCCGGCCACCCCTCCAGCCTACGAACCCCAGGAATGCCAGGGCATGTGGCTGTTTGGGGGGTGGGAGGTTCTGAAGAATGTGATGTGTGGAGGGTGTCAAGAGACGGTGTGCTGGAGCCTGTGCAGGACTGTTCCGGCAGACAGACGGGGCACTGACAGCTGGGTCCAGGACCTGTGGGTCACATCCCTGATGCTGGCCACAGCCCCCAGGAGACCTAGAAATAGAGCAGGAGAACGGCAGGGCTGTGTGGCTTGAGCATGGGCCCCACAGGACACCTGCCCAAGGCCGGGGTGGAACCTCACTCTGTCCATCCATCTCTCCCTGCCCTGCAGTGCCACCGCATCCACCGTTCGCTCGCCAGCCAATTCAAGTACGCCTTAGTGTGGGTGAGTCTCTGGGCGGGAGGCGGGCCTGGGGTTGGACCTGGCACAGCCCCTGGGTTCCATGGCAGAGTGGGGGCCTTCACCCATCACTGCAGTGTTCCTCTCCTTCCCTTTGGGGCCAGCGTGTGTGTCTGTCTGTCAGTCTGTGTCTGTGTGTCACTTAGTGGCATGTGCATGCTAAGCAGGGTGGGGCTCTACTTGTGGTTGTGGATGGCCATGTGGCAGGAGAGTCCTGTTCTGAGGCCTGTAGGGTTGCCCGTGCTGGGTCTCCCTTTTAGACTTGCTTTCACACCCCCACACACACACCCCTTCCTCCACTAAAAGCGTCCTTCTCCTTAGTGGGCGTGGTGGCTGATGATTTCTTCTGCCTGTGTTTCCCACCCAGGGCACCAGCACCAAGTACAGCCCACAGCGGGTAGGCCTGACCCACACTATGGAGCATGAGGATGTCATCCAGATTGTCAAGAAATAGGGGCTCCTACTGAACCCCACACCTCTCCATGGGGAGTTGGACCTGATGGGGGCTGCCCAAGCCCAAACGGAAAATACAAACCCACCCCACAAAGGGGCCCTCGAGTATCTCCTATTGGCAGACGTTTCTTCAGCGGGCCGAGAATGAAGAGTGTTGGGGCAGAGGGACGGAAGGGGAGATGCACTGGGCAACACGTTTGGACGGAGGGCGTTGGATAGGGGTTCTAAGGTTGGCGCTCGGGCCTATGCCCCACTGAGGAAGCAAGCTGCGCTGCCTACCCCACGGAGACTCCTTCAGAGACATCACTGGCCCCGGGCTGGGGTGCAAATCAGCCTGCCTGATGCCCAGGAGGTGACAGTTATTGCTGTGGGGGTGCCTTAACCCCCAGCCCTGCGAGCTCCTCTGGCAGTTGGGAAGGGGCTTCCCAGGATAAAATACTACCCCAGCACACTCAGGACCTGCCTGGCAGAACCAGAGGTCAGGGGCTTTAGGTTCAGGGCCCACCCTCACAGCCTGAACAGTCTAGAAGTGTCCCTAAGGGCCTCCCTGCCCACCTCAGCTCAGACCCTGTGCAGACACTTAAGGGGGGACTATGAAGCTTAGGTTCTGCATTTGTTTTTTTTATCTAAGCCCCTTGATCTCTTAAGTTTTTTTCTCAAATAAAAGATAAAAACAATTCCTGATCAGGCTAAGGGAGAATTTTTATGTATTTCATGAGCTCGGTTGCCAGATTTGGTCAGGCTGAGCCTGGTGATCAGAGTGAGAGGAATCAGAACAGGTCCACCCCTGGGGTCCAGGGGAGGTTGTAGGGTGGACTCTTCCAGAGCTAAACTTGCTGTGGTGGGCTTGCAGGGGTGGTGAACCCGATAATGGCAGGTCAGACCTGACTGCCAAGGTGGGTGGGTAGATTCTCAGCAGGGTGAAGGGTAGCCTAACAGGAGGGACAGGCCTGGGATGATACTGGATGGCAGCAGGGGTTCCTGGGCCCTGCACAGCAGCCACCCACCTATAGTTTGTCAGTGCAGGACTGGGATTTGAACCACAGCCAGAGACTGCCAAGCGGTAAGGTTCCTGGGGGAGACCTAACAGGGAAGAGCAATTCTGGTTCTATGTGGCTGCCAGCCGCTGGGCTGAAGGAGGGTGAAGCACTCCCTGGGGTTTCTGGGCCGGCTGAGTGTGGAGCAGGGCCACTGCCCAGCTCTGCAGGCTGTTCCACGCTCCTCTGTCACCTGCTCCGGCTCCTTTCCAGAGACAAAACAGGAATAATAGACATCATCAAATATGCATGGGCCCCAGGCGGCCAGCGTGGTGGGCTGGGCCTCCCTCCTACAAAGCTGAGCTGCGCTGCTGGGCCAGCCATGCTCCTGGGGCCAGCCACAGGACCCCCATTAGGCGGGATGCAGACGGGAAACAGGCTGCAGAACCCAGGTAAGGAGACCCTGACCCTGGACCCTTGGGGTCTGCCCCTGCCCAGCCCCCCAGGTTGCAGTGGGGGAAGGCAGAGGGCAGCTGGGGTTTTGCCCCATAACTTGAGAGTCATTTTCAGGCCTCAGTTTCTTCTTCTGTAAAGTGGACATGATACCCTGCAGCACTCTTAGCCGTGGTGGGATGCCAAGACAGCCTAATGGTTTTCCCTAACACCACCCCCCACCCCCCAACTCGCCCCAGGCTGGCATGAAATCTTCAGTGAGAGTTAAGTCTGTTGATGGTTGCTGCCTCTTCCTGCCTCTTGGTTAAGTGGGATCCCTGGGTTCTGTCCCCCAAGTTGTCTGGACGGGGGGGGGGGGGGGAGGGCGGGAGATGAGCAGAGGTCTGGGTGTTCTCAGGCAGTGTGGACTTGGGTTGGTTGAAGTTGAGAGGTCACCATGGACCATCATGTCCCACATCAAATAGGCTGGTGGCCTGGAATTGGTCTATGTCCACAGATCAAGAATTTCGAGTCTGTTGAGTTCTTGACCTCTTGCTGGGAACCAGAATCCAGAATCCTGCCCTCAGAGGGGGCCCTATATCTATTTGCTCTGTCCCCCTCCTGTAAGTACTTCACCCCATTATTACCCTGGTCAGCAGACCCCCAGAGTGCACCCTTGGAGCTCCGCCTGCTTCATTTCAGCAGGGATCGAGCCCGCTCCTTCAGTTCTGGGTCCTTGCAGTTTGTCGGGGTTTTCCCAATTATAGTCGACATCCGACAGTTCCTACTGCTTCATGTCCCTGTCTGGATGCCAGTTGCCAGGGACCAGCCTGGAGCGGACAAACCTGAAGCAGGGATGCTGCAAGAATTAAGGAAAGAGAAATAAGAACATAAACAGCCTCGTGGACTGAGAGCTCTAACTGCTCTCCACATACAGTATTTACTAGAACCAGTAATCATCAGGAGAGTAACATTCACCTGGTAGGTGCCTAACTCTCCTGGTCTATCCTCAGACTTTACCTATCTGAGGGTGTTAATTCATCAGGATCAACAAAAGTAGAGGGCTTCCTCAAGGGGAAATTCTTCCAGGATCAGGAGCAGAGAGAGGGCAGCTACAGGACCCTTGCCGGGACAGCACCCCAGACAGTGTCTAACATGGAACTCCAGCATTCTAGATTCTGGTTTCCAACACCCTCTGGTCAGTGGCTGTGCTGTGCACCTGTGTGACAGCGCCTAGACCCTCATGCTGTACTCACCCAGGTCAGCCTGAGAAATTGCCAGGGCTTAAAGGTACACATGTCCACGTTCCTCCTTTCGCGTGAAAATGCTGAGCTCATGTATTCTTAAGATACCACTTGGCTTAGCCCAGAAGCATGACTTGCCCACAGCATCAAGTGCTTTGGATAACCCCTCTGCCACTCTCTAAACCCACACTGCCCCCTCCAGTCCCACCTAAAAGGCTGTCTCCTCCAGACACCCCACACCCCATGCTGGACGCAGCCCTTCTCTGCATGCTGGAAGAAGCCTAGCAGGCCATCCCTCCAACCTTCACATTCCACAGGCGATTCAGCCTTAGATTTCTTCTGCCTTGCCTTTTTGGGGTTTTGTTTGTTGGTTTTGAGGCTGCACCCAGCTGTGCCCAGGGATCACTCCTGGCTCAGTACTGAGGATTCAGTCCTCACAGACTTGGGGGACCATATGACCCTGAGTCAGCCACGTGCAAGGCAGGTACCCTACCTACTGTACTATCAGTCTGGCCCGTTGCTCTCTTGGACCTGTCCCACTGATGGGCCAGCTAAACTGCTTTACTGTCCCCAGTCTGTTCTGACACAGCACAGACAGGGATTGGGAATAGACAGCAGATACATTCTCATTGCTGGAGGGTAAGTCTAAGTGTCGGCAGGGTTGGTCTCTCCCGAGGCCTCTCTCCTTGGCTTCTAGTTGGCAACTGTCCTTGCTGTGCTCTCATCTGGTCTTTTCTCTTTCTCCTACTGGGGGAAAAAAAAACCAAAAAACGAATTACCCTTAGGATGCATTTCCTGTGACCACACCCTTTCATGGCTTAGCTTCCCCAGGCCAACTTCCCCATCCACCTCCCTGGTCTTACCTGCCTTCAGAACTTGATGTGATGCTGCAGTGCAAACACTGCTAACCACATTGAAAGGCAAGTTCAGTGGTCAGTGGCCTTCTGCTCAGCTCCCATCTCCTTTTCATTGTTAAACACCAGATCAGAGGCTTCTTCCTAGACACAGTCTCCCAACTCCATCGCATCTTCCCTTTAGATCTAAATGGGCTTCATCTCGGGGCTGGAGCAGTAGTTCAGTGGATAGGGCATTTACCTTGCATGTGGCCAACTCAGGTTTGATCCCGTGTATCCCATAAGGTCCAGAGCCAACTAGGAGTGAGCCCTGAGCACCATTGAGTGTGGCCCTCCCTTAGAAAAGAAATGGGTTACTTTTCTTTCATGTTCCTTAGTTTTCCCAAACCCACCTGCAATCGCATCACCCACCCTACCTCAGAATGATTCCCCCATTCATCCGGCCACACTAACATAGTCTGAAGGGTCCCCAGGCAACCCTTCACCCAGCCCCCGTGATGAGTATTTCTACCATACTCCCTCACTGCTGTTCCAGGTCAAACCAGTGTCTGCTCTCGCTGCTTCATTGTGTAGCCCCTCCCCATCATTCTCAGCATGGTGGCCCAGGAGCTAAACCGCTTTGTAAGCCATGTGCAGCAGTGGTTCGAGCACAGGCATTGTAGCCAGGCTGCTGCAGCTTGAATGCAACTTTCAAGCCATTTGGCTTTAGGCTCATCTATGAAGTGGGAAGAATTGTAGTGTAGTGAGGGTGAACTCCATCCTTTGTGGCCCGGAAACTCTGTTGAGTCACCATCACTTCTTCACTGGGGCTCACTCGAGTGCTCTGACCTCTCCCGTCCAGCCCTGCACCTATGAGGCAGAACAGTGGTTCTTACCTTATGGTGAGACTGTAGAGAGCTCTTACAGGAAAGCATTTGGCACTGCACCTGGCATGAAACCAAGTGGTATTGACTTTGTTATTTTTTGGAGGGATTAGGGTGGGCACACCTGGTGGTGCTCAGGGCTTACTCCTAGCTCTGCACTCAGGGGTGGGCTCAGTGGATATGGGAAGCCAGATATTGAACCCGAGTCATCTGTGTGCAAGGTAAGCACCCTACTCCCTGTACTATCGTTTTGGCCCCTATTTTTGTTACTGGCAAAATCCCCAGCTGGTTACATTCAGCTGACAGTGCAGAACCGTGCATCACTCCTTTCAGGATGGAGACCTCAGCCAGCACAGATTCCTGGAGCCAGTCTCTGGCTGCCATCTGCTGCTTCTCCACAGGCTTCGCATCAGTCCAGCCTCTCAGTACCTGGCTTTGCATGCTGTTCCCTCTGTGGGGAACACTGCTCCCTCTTCTGTTTGGTGAGCAAATTCTCATCTTTCCATCTTTCCATCTTGGAGCCTTCCTGGACTCCATCGCTGGGCTAGTCTCTCCTATGGACTCCCTGCCAGTGTTTCCCAACCAGTGAAAATCACATCAATGGAGGGTCCATGGCACAAGACTGGAGGCAAACCAGTAGGACCAGGACCAACAGGAAGGGAACAAGGGAAGGGTTAGAAAAGGAAAGTCCCCATTCCCTGTCGTCTGGGCACTCCAGTGACTCGCACAGCATCTGGG